GGGCTCCCTGCTCAGCGGGAAGCCTGCTTCTCCCTCTCCCACTCCCCCTGCTTGTGTTCCCTCTCTTGCTGTCTCTCTCTGTCAAATAAATAAATAAATTAAAAAAAAAAAAAAAAAAGAAACCTAGAAAAGTGAAAAAAAATGTCTAAGATTGCAGGGTTGGGACTAGAACCCAAATTTCCTGACTTGTAATCAAGTGTTCTTGACTCTATAGTACACTGCCTCTCTTAGAATTCAGTGACTTTGCTCACTCCTGCTTCTCATAGTCAGGCTGCGTCTTGTTATGCCAATTAGACCCTGATTCACAGGGCTCATGCTGTTTTCCCTTTCATGCTCTTCTTCAAAAAGTCTACTTCACAGTTTCAATTTGACAGATAATTTTTTAAAATATTAAGAACTTACTTTGGCCTACACGGTAGAGAGACTACCAACTCAAGTAAGGCATGCTTCCTACCTGTGAGGAATTTTTTATAAACATCAGATAGGGTACTCTCAGACACCAAAGTTATGTATGTATGTGAAACTTATTACCACCACCCAATCAAGTTTTCTAACAGAGATCATCTTTTTAGTCAATGCTTCCTTAATTCTCTGGGCCCCACAGTAAAATCTTGAAGCTATTTTTGCTACTCTGGCATGAAAATGGGAGTATGTGGTTTTCAATCCCTGCTGTACCATTAACAGATCAGTTCTGAAACCTGGGCAAGTCATACCTCTCTGGGTTTACTCTCCTCAATTAGTAAAATACAGAGAATGAACTTGCTATAATTCATCTTCTTTTCAAATCCAAGCAAATCCAAGGTGAGAGGAATAATCAACATATTTTATTTCTAGCTAGCTATCATTTATTTATTTATTTTTAAAGATTTTATTTATTTGTCAGAGAGAGAGAGAGGGAGAGAGAGCACAAACAGAGGGAGCTGCAGGCAGAGGGAGAAGCAAGCTCCCTGCTGAGCAAAGAGCCGAACACGGGGCTCGATCCCAGGACCCTGGTACCATGACCTGAGCCAAAGGCAGACGCTTAATTGACTGAGCCACCCAGGCGTCCTGTCATCTATTTTTTTTTTATGCATATCTCTCAAATTTCTCTCTCCTCCGCTATGTTTGTCAGAACCAAGCCCTTCATTTCTGAATTATTGCTAAGCAGGCTTCAAGCTCTTCAGTGTAGATGTGACTTGTTAAAAGCAATTTTAAGCAAGATTTAGCCTAGAGGTCCAGGTTAGACTGGAGGCTAGAAAACTAATTTAAAAGCCTATTAGAATAAAGATCAATCTCACAGCAAAAGTCTGTCATTCAAGTACTTCAAAAGCGGTCCCTCAAAAAAAGGCCTATTGGCCTTTCTGATTTTATTTCACGTGACTCCTCAACACATGGCCTTTCTGACCACATCTTCAGGTTGTTTTTTTAAAATTTAAATTCATTTAATTAGCATATATTGTGGGGCGCCTGGGTGGCTCAGACGTTAAGTGTCTGCCTTCGGCTCAGGTCATGATCTCAGGGTCCTGGGATCGAGCCCCGCATCGGGCTCCCTGCTTTGCGGGAAGCCTGCTCCTCCCTCTCCCACTCCCCTTGCTTGTGTTCCCTCTCTCGCTGTGTCTCTCTCTGTCAAATAAATAAATAAAATCTTTAAAAAAAAATTAGCATATATTGTTGGTTTGTATTATTAGTTTCAGAGGTAGAGTTCAGAGATTCATCAGTTGCATATAATACCCAGTGCTCATTACATCACGTGCCCTCCTTAATGCTCTCACCCAATTACCCCATCACTCCACCCACCTCCCCTCCAGCAGCCCTCAGTTTGTTTCCTAGAGTTGAGTCTCTTATGGTTTGTCTCCCTCTCTGATTTCATCTTACTCTATTTTTCCCTCCCTTCTCCTATGATCCTCTGTTTTGTTTCTTAAATTCCACATATAAGTGAAATCACATAATTGTCTTTCTCTGACTGACTTATTTCACTCAGCATAATACCTCTAGTTCCATCTTCATGTTTTAAATGTTGCTGTTTCTAACCTTCCTCTGAGGGACTTCTTACCTTTCTACAAACTTAATTCCAATAGCTTCCTTAAGACCAATTTCTTCCATGGAGTCAGATTTTTCCTTTCTCTTCTTATATTATTTAATTAACATAAATATTTAGAGTACCAATAATAATCCCCCTTCCTAACTCCCTCTAATGAATATAGTTGGCAAAACAGAGATGATATGTAAAAACTCTAGTCAACAGTAAAAGGAAGAATACATATAAAGGTGATGTAAAGAGTATAACTTATTTTCTTTAGTATTTTCTCTTATTTCCTTTGCAAAGTAAAGCAAGCAACTGGTTGTTGGTCTTTGTGGTAGAGGATTAATATATGTTTTTAAATTGTTTTAGAATATTTAATAAGAAAATTAAAGTACATTTTCTTGGCTACCAACTCCTGATATATGATGTCTGGACAAAAGGATATGAAGTATTACCATTAATATGTAATTTAGGCAGATACTCAAACAAGCAGTGAGTAATGTTATACAAATGCTGTCAGGGTAACTTAGTTAGTAGGTAAGCTCTGAAGACTATATTTCAGTCATGATGCAATCAGTGCCAATCTGACCAACTGATTGTCAGTGTCAGTCTTAATAACAGTAGAGAAGCAATGAGGAAAACAAAGTTTTGTTTTCTCTCTTTCATATTTCTTATTGCTGCCTGAGCCCTAATTTGCATCCCCTCCTCAGAGAGAGGCCACAATTAGAGGAGTAAAGGGTTTGATTTGATAAGAGTAAAGCAGAACTGGCATATCCCACCAGTCGTCTCAGCACCCACTTGGAGGACATCCAGCGCACTCTCTTGCACCAACTCCAAAGGAGATTTTCCCAAGAAATGGGTTTCAAGCAATTTTAGTTCCCATCACCACTGTCTGCTTGTCATAACTGAAAAAATATCCATTATATTACAAAAAGATTCTGTTATCCAGTATTTGTTAATTATGATTGAGACCAGAAACATACAAAGTTTCAAAGGAAACAATTGAAGGGAACATCTGAAAGTGATTTTTCCCCCCTTCTTTGTTGTTCTGCTACTCACGGCAAATCTTCCAGACTGGAGGCTTCGTGTCTTGGATCCAGTAGATCATAACCACATTCATTGTAGATTTCCAAATAGGAAATGTGCGTTGTATGTATTGTGCTGCTGTCCTGATTGGAAAAGGGGAAGACATTGTTTAATGGCTATAAATAACGATCCAGCTTAGAGGAGGATGAACACATTTATCACTACAGTTCCTCACAGCTTTCTCTCCTTTACTCTCTTCACTTTGTATGGTTTCCATTTTCAGTTCGTGACACTTTCAAGTTGCTAGTTACCATATGCATGAAGCGTTGTTTTTTTTTTAATAGCCAACACCCATGATTACAAGCAACTTTAGTCTGTTGTTTTTTTATTGGTTCCACGTTATATATACATGAAGAGTCAATACACACTTAAAGTGAGCCAACTTGGTTGCAGAACTGTATAACACACCATTTTTTACTTTCCAGACCCCAAAAAAGGTTACTATGAAAAAATAAACTTACATTCTGTGAATAGCCTATTCATAAAAGAAAACAGAACTGTGACTTCAGTTTTAAAACTTCAGTAGCAAAAGAGTTTCCATCTTCAACCATAATTCTTTTTTCTAACTTTTCCAATATTCAAAATTTCTGATGACATAAATAGGTAACAGACAATAGTTGATAATGGAGAATGAATCCCAGGGGACAGAAATACTTTAGATCAATCAGGTAACAGTAAGAGTAGATATTCACAGCTCACTGCCTGCATCTTATCCATTGGGTGAATTTTCCTGGCCCATGTGGCAGATCAGGGATACTGAGCCATTGGTTTGAGAGGTATTTTCTGGGGTCATTGCTGGTGAAGTGCATGACACAGGCATCGATGTCATTAGGATAAAAGTCAAGGCGACAGGTCCTGTCTCAGTTCTGTCAGCAGACAAAAAGGACCCACTCTCTCTGAGATGGAATAAAATGGAATTTTTTTCAGGTCTCAAGAAAATTCCAGGCTCAGTTTTCAAGACCAAGTATCAATTAATAGCACCTTCTTCTTGCTTCTCCCAAAGTACAAATTCTTCCATTTTGGCAAATAGAGTCCAACTTCTTGTAAGGGGACAATATATTTGTGCCTTATGGCAAGAAGGTCAGCAGATTGTCAGAGAAGAGAATTCCTGTTGATTCTCACCCATATCCAAGACAATCCATTTGACAGATACTATTCAAAGGGAGAGATGACCAAGTCACAGAGATGGGAGAGAGAACAGGGGCCTGCAAATCCAGAGTTGGAATCCTAGTCCTACTTGCTATGAGCCCCTGTGATATCAGGCTTCAGTTTCCACACCCATTAGTGAGGCAGTTGAATAATGAATCCCTATGTGTTCTTCAGATAAAAATTAATATGATTCTCTGGTCCTAACGTGACTCAAACTACCCAAAGAAAAACACCAACATTTCATAAAAACAAAACAACACCTAGAAAATTAAGGCAACTCTCAGGCAGCACATGACTAGAGTAAAACACTCAAGCTACAGCTGAAATTCCATGTTCTGGTGGTTTGGGAGGGTGACAGCATGGACTGAGTCTCTACTAAGCAAATTTCTCCCAAGCAAATGCTGGAAATCCTCCTCATGTGGGCGACTCTGGCTGCTTATCCTACCTAACACACGGCCTGTCAATCAGATTAGGTTAGTAAAGGCATCATTTCAACATCATTCTGTGGGTTATAACTTGGCTTAGCACAGGTATCAGAGACCATAAATACTAGGCAGACTCTACATGGCCTTTAGTCTAATCCAGTTTTCCCTAAAATGTCCCATGAAATATCTTGTGGAGAAAGTGTTCCACGATCAACATATATGCTGTCCCTCTCTAGAAGATTCTCAGAGCACGTGAAAGGCCACGGGGGATCATTTACCAACTTCCTGAGATCCCGTTAAAAGCAATATATTTCTTTTTTTGGGTGGCGGAGATTTCTTTTTATTATGTTGTTAGTTACCATACAGTACATCATTAGTTTTTGATGTAGTGTTCCATGATTCATTGTTTGTGGATAACACCCAGTGCTCCACGCAATACGTGCCCTCTTCAATACCCATCACTGGGCTAACCCATGCCCCCACCCCCCTCCCCTCTAAAACCCTCAGTTTGTATTTCTAAAACTTACCTGACCATATCTGAAATATCCCATCTCTTATAGTTTGAGATTTTAGCAGACAGTTCTGGGCTCATCTTAGCATCAGAAAAAGCTGGGTTTGAACCCTGGATCTGGCATTTATAACTGAGTGATCCTGCATTACCCACAGCTGTTTAATTGCAGAATTGGGGAGAATAACCCTTATCTTGCAGAACTGTTGTGACAGAGAAATAGGGTTTTGTACTTAAAATCCTGCCAAGAATGTGTGGCCCTGTAATAATCCCCAATAAATCCTTGCTGCTGCTACTGCTATTATTATTGCTATTGTTATTGTTTTTATTGTTTCTAAAGGCCTCCAAATGGAGAACTCAGTACATGAATATAAAAGAGAAGGCAAAGAAAGGCAAAAACAACAGCCAACTTGTATGTTCATCTGCAGTGGAGAAACTCTCTTTCTTCCAGAAAGTAGAAGAAATCATCATAAGTCAGGAAAATGGCAAGTCCACTCCCCTGAGATAATGGGGATAATGCCTTTGGCTCCTCCAGTTTCTGCATTTTCTGGACTTTTATTGGAATACACACTTAAAAGTCACTGAGCAATGTGGCAAGCTACCTTTCCTTATTACTCCTTTTTTAGTGTTTAGGATTGCCAGACTGTAATGTAACACACATGTTTCCTGCAGACAGCCTTTTCTCCTGCCCCAAAACAAGTCTGAACCTCACAATATTCAAAAGTAATAAGCAGTGATTTCTAAAATAAATGGAATCAATTGTCTTCTTTTAAAATCACTGCAAATGTGCTCCTATCACACTCACAGGCACTTTAGGAGCCAGTATGCAATTGCTCTTAGTTTATCTTGAAATAAATACTTTGCATAAGTCAAAATATTTCCTTTAAGAATTCTGGAGAGCTGGGGCACCTGGGTGGCTCAGTTGGTTGGGCGACTGCCTTCGGCTCAGGTCATGATCCTAGAGTCCCGGGATCGAGTCCCACATCAGGCTCCCTGCTCAGCAGGGAGTCTGCTTCTCCCTCTTCCCTACCCCCCTCTCATGTGCTCTCTCTCTCTCTTTCTCTCTCTCACTCTCTCTCTCTCAAATAAATAAAATCTTAAAAAAAAAAAAAAAGAATTCTGGAGAGCTCCATGTGGCCCTCTAAAGCAATCGACTGGGGGCATCTGAATACCTATCTGCATTTTTCAGCTACACAGTATGGACAAACTTAATGATCAACCTCAAGTTGCCTCTGACTAATTTTGTAGCAGTTCGGTTTGATTATAATGAATGTGTTGTGCCCCATCATGGAAATCTGTCCTTTTACAGAGTTGTCCTGGCTATAAATTGGTCCAAGGGGCTCTCTCCAGTCCAGGAAGTGATTTAGGATCATTCAAAATGAAATGAGGTTTAGAATAATGTCATGACCAAACAGACATACAACAATGGACCCAAGAGATGGTAGGTATTCAGGAGACATTTCGACTTTTACTGTATTTGGTACCCATAGACAAAATTTTAGAAGGGACAAATGTATTTTCCGTTAGGAAAGGATTTGTTTATTCTCTTTAACTTAATCAGGGAAATTGGTTTCATTTGTTCTAATTTCAAAGGATTCTTTGAAATTAATCAGGATCGTTTGGCCATGTACGTGTGTGTGTGCGTGTGTGTGTGTGTGTGTGTGTGAATATAGGTATCAATGGTTGTAGTAATTGAGCTCATTTCTTGAGCATATATTATGTGCCAGGAACTGAACAATATCTTTAGATACAGTATGTTCAGCCCTCACAGCAAGTCCACAAGGCTGAGACGTTAAGTAACCGCCTCAAGACCACATGCTGTAAGTAGTACATTTTCTCAGAACCAGGTTGGCCTGCAGTGATCTTTCCAAGACAAAAGGCTTCCACGTTGGGCCACAGAAACAAAAACCATTAGAAATTATATTCCCAGTTTGTGAAATCTGGGAACAAAACAAAACAGCTAACGTCAGAAATAAATGAGTAAATGAAAAGACAGGATCTGAATCCAACATATACACTATACTCAACCCTTTCTCTTCCACATTTTCTGGCATGCAGAGTTGGCATGTTTGAGCTAGTGAGAGATGAGCTGAACTAATGGGTAATTGCTACTTTATGGATGGAAATTAGAATTATGCAGATCTCAGCAATTTCTTCTCATCTTTGCAACTCAAAATGCAAAAAGCATACAAGTCAAGAAATTTTGGAATAACTGTTACACTGACCTAGTTAGGACATTTGTTACACAGAATTAATACAACCAAGTAAGTGTGGGAACTAGTAGAGCCAGTGGAGATCCTCTAGTACAATTCATTCCCTACTTTCACAGAGGGGAAAACGGAAACCCAGAGAAGTTATAGGACTCATTATTAGTTAAATACAATCAACAAAATAAAGCCAGTCTGAGACATAGAGGCAGTGTATATAGTGGTAAAAAGCACAGAGTTTGGCATCACACAGACCTGGGATGGACCTCCAAGTCAGCTACTTATAAAGACCCAGAGAAAGATATCTAGACTCAGTTTTCCCAACTATGAAAATGGGATAAGGATACTTACCTTGCTAGTTGTATTGTATGTTGTATTAAATACTAATAAAGCAATAGGCACTTAGAGACACACAGTCAATGATGCATATAATATAGAGAACTTCTCTTCCTAATAATATTAATTGCAATAGGATTTTTACTCTGGTAAATTCTTTTGGGCTTCTATTACAATTGTGAAAAAGGTACAATTACATCATCTTATTCAGTGCTTTAGTAGCCGAAATAAAGATGTCTTGGCAAAAGGACATCCAGTTTCTTAATGGGAAATATAAGGTGTTAGTTAGTAAAATGTGTTATCTGTTCTTTTAATCCCCATGGATGTATCAGAAGGAACTCCCTTTGAGCCTTTGCTGAAACAGCATCCCTTTAATGAGAAGCACCTTAATTTCTACTTCTTCAGCAAAATCCTAAACTTTCCTTAAATGTAAAGGCCAGAGTTATAACACAATAATACTTCCTCATTGAGATATAATATAATAAAATGTCACAATAAATTTTTTACCCACCATAAATTTCTGCTGAATATATCAAACAGAAAATGAACGTAAAGCTCCATACCTTTTGTAATTGTTCAAAAATGTACGACAGTGTCCTTGGGATAATGCCTCGGTCACTGTAGCGTTCTGCCCCACCAGTGATGGTGAATGTCTTCCCACTGCCTGTTTGCCCATAAGCAAGGATGGTACCATTGTAACCTGCCAAGACACTACATAAAGAAATGACATACTTCTAACATCAACATGGCTAATTGCATGAGTATTAAATGGTTTGTGTTCTAATAGCAACCTCATTCAACAGTAGTGAAAAGACATTTATAGAAGTATCTATATATTTGAGTATCTAGCTAAATTAATTTACTTTTTTTAAAAATCCAGGAGTATCAGCACACCAATCCTTTTCTCCAAGAAAGTTACCTGTAACTCAAATGGAGTCTGGTCATCTTAAGTATTTTTTTTTTAATTTAATTTTTCTTTAGAAAGATTTTATATTTACATAAAAGTTGCAAAGATAGTACAGAGTTAACACATACCCTATGCCTACTTGCCTCACTGTTGATAACATTAGTATTGTGCACTTGCTATAACTAAAGAACCAATATTGATGTATTATACATCTTATAAAAATGTCCTTGGTTTTCATATACTGTCTTTTAATTTTTTTCCAGCTTTACTGAGATATAGCTGACACACAACAAATGTAACTTTAAGGTGTACAAATGTGATGATGTGATACATAAATATACTGTGAAATGAGTCCCACAATAAGGTTAGTTAACACATCCATCACCTCACATAATTATCACTTTCGGAGGTGGTGATAACATTTAAGATCGATACTCTTAACAACTTTCAAATATATAATATATAGTTACTGTGCTATACATTTGATCTGTAGAACTTATTCATCTAATAACTGGAAGTTCTTATCCTTTGATCAACATCTCCACATTTCCCCCACCCACCAGCCCCTGGCAACCACCATTTTTTCTTGATATCTATGAGTTCAGTTTTTTAGATTACACACGTAAATGAGAATATAGAGAATTTGTCTTTCTCTGTCTTATTTCACTTAGCATAATGCTCTCAAGGCCCAACTACATTATTGCAAAATGGCAGAATTTTCTTCTTTTTATGGCTGATTAATATCCCATTTTGTTTGTGTGTGTGTTTAACAGATCTTCTTTATTCACTTATCCACCCATCAATAGACATTTAAGTTTTTCCATACCTTGGCTATTGGGAATAATGCTGCAGTGAACATGGGGATGCAGATTTAAGATTTCATTTCCTGTGATATACTGGCAGAAGTGGCATTGCCGGATCTTATGGCAGTTCTATTTCTAATTTTTAAAGGAAACTCCATACTGTTTTCCATAGTAGCTGCACCAATTTACATCTCTACCAACAGTGCACAAGAATTCCCTTTTCTTTACATCCTTGACAGCATTTGCTGTCTCCTGACAGTTTGATAATAGCTTTCCTAACAGGTATGAGGACATATCTCATGTTTTTGGTTTGCATTTCCCAGATGATTAGAAATATTGAACACCCTTTCATGTATTTGTTGACCATCTGTATTTTTTCTTTGGAGAAATTTCTATTCAAGTCCTCTGTCAATTTCTTAACTGGATTTGTGCTTAACATGTGATCTATCCAGGAGAATGTTTCATGTATGCTTGAGTAGAATCTGTATTCTCCTGCTGTTGGATGAAATGTTGCATATATGTCTAGAATCCATTTGGATTAAGGTATAGTTCACATCCAATGTTTCCTTATTTCTTTTCTTTTCTTTTTTTTTTTAAGATTTATCTATTTATTTTTTGAGAGAGAAAGAGAGAGAGAGAGGAAAAGTGGGGGGGGTAGGGGGAGAGGGAGAGAGAGGATCTCAAGCAGACTCCCCACTGAGCACAGAGCCCAATGTGGGGCTTGATCCCATGACCCTGTAATCATGACCTGAGTCAAAATCAAGAGTCAGATGCTTAACCAACAAAGCCACCCAGGCGCCCCTCCTTACTGATTTTCTATCTGGATGATCTATCCATTGTTGAAAGTGGGGTGTCAGATTCCACTACCATTATTGTATTGTTGTCTATTTCTCCCTTCAGATCTGTTAATATTTGCTTAATATGTTTAGGTGTTCTGATGTAGGATGCATATATATGGTTATATCCTTATGATGCACCGACTCTTTTATCACTATAAAATGGCCTTTGACTCATAGTTTTTTGTTTTGTTTTGTTTTTAAGAGTCTACTTATTTATTTATTTATCTGAGAGAAAGAAAGAGGGAACACAAGTTGGGGGGGGAGAGCAAAGGGAGAGGGACAAGCAGACTCCATGCTGAGTGCGGAGACTGACAGGGGGCTCAATCTCACGACCCCAAGATCATGACCTGAGCAGAAATCAAGAGTCGGACACTTAACCGACTGAGCTACCCAGGCACCCCAGTCTCATCACAGTTTTGGCTTAAAATCTATTTTGTCTGATATAAGTATAGCTACTTTAGCTTTCTTTTGGTTTCTTTCCATTTGCATGGAGTATCTTTTTCTATCCCTTCACCTTCAGTCTATGTATGTTCTTAAAGCTGAAGTGAGTCTTTTGTAGGTAGCATATAGTTGGGTTTTGTTTTTAGTCCATTAGCCACTTTATGCCTTTTGATTGGAGAATTTAATCCATTTACATTAAAAGTAAATAAGGCCAAGTATGGGCTTACTAATACCAACTTATTCATTGTTTTCTAGTTTTGTATTTCCTTTTTTTCCTTCTTCTTCTTTTACTGTTTTTGTGAAGTGATTTTCCCTATGGTATACTTTGATTCCCTTTTCTTTAACTTCTGTGTATCTACTATTGGTTTTTACCATTCATCCCATTTTTAATGTTTTGATGTCACAATTAACTTCTTTTTATAGTGTGTCTTCATTATCAAATTACTGTAGCTGTAGTTGTTTTTAATAGTTTTGTCCTTTAACCTTATACTAAAATAAGTAACACATCACCATATTATAGTATTAGAGTATCATAAATTTGCTTATACTTGCCTTTACCAGTATGCTTTATATTTTCATATGTTTTCATGTTTCAGCATTTCTTATAAGGTAGGTCTAGTGGTGATGAACTCCTTCAGCTTTTGTTTGTTTAGGAAAATCTTTGTTTCTCCGTAATTTCTGAAAGATAACTATGCTGGGTAAAGTATCCTTGGCTGTTTCTTTCTTTGAGAAATTTGAATACATTGTCCCACTCTCTCAGGGCCTATAAGGTTTCTGCTGAGAAATCTGCTGATAGCCTTATGAGGGTTCCCTTATTGTGTGGGTATTTTTTTCTCTTGCTGCTTTTAAAATTATCTTTGTCTTTGATTTTAGATAGTTTTAGTTTAATGTGTCTTGTAACACATCATTTTGGTTTGAAATTATAGGTTCACCTATTAGCTGTATGAACATGGATGTCCAAAAATCTCTCCCCAGATTTGAGAATTCCAAGTCATTATTTCTTTAAATATTCTTTCTGCCCCTTTCTCCCTCTCTTCTCCTGAGACTTTAAATAATGTAAGATTGTTTCCTTTAATGGTATCCCATAATTCACAAAGATTTTCTTCACTCTTTCTCTTCTCTTTTTGCTTCTCTGACCAGATGATATCAAATGACATGTTTTCCAGTTAACTAATTCTTTATTCTGCTTGATTGTCTGCTATTGAAGCTTTCTACTGAATTATCAATTCGATCACTGTGTTTTTAACTCTAGGATTTGCTTGGGTTTTTTTATGGTTTCTTTTCCTTTGTTAAACTTCTCATTTTGTTCATGTATTATGAACAATTTCATTTAGTTGTCTTTGTTTTCTTGTAATTCACTGAATTTAAGAGTATTATGCTGAATTATTTGTCAGACAGTTCCTAGACCTCCATTTCTTTAGGGTCAGTCACTGGAGCTTTATTAGTTTCCTTTGGTGATCTCATGCCTGTGTGGGTGGACCTGGATACTGGGTCCACAGTGACTAACCAGGCACTGGGAATCACTAGGATAGGCCCAGTATCTGGACCCACAGGGACCAGTCCAGTGCTGGGACAGTCTGAGAGCCTGGTTTCACATAAGCCAGCCAGGAGGCTGGGGCTACAGAGGCCAACCTGGCATTAGGACCAGCCTAGAGTCTTGGGCCACGGGAGTCAGCTTACAACACAGGGCCTCATGGGCTAGGTTGGGTCTGCAGTGGCCAATGTGGTGCTGTGCAGGCCAGGAGCCTGAATCTGTGGAGCCAGCCTTAAAGCTCAGGCTGCAAAGGCTGGCCTGGCTTTGGGGAGGGCTTGCAGTGTGGGTCTGGTGACAACCCACTGGGATACTGGAGTTACAGGAGTCACCCAAGGCCATGCTGGCTGGCCAAACAGGGATGGGCTGGGATCCTGGTTCCTAGAGTCTGCTGGGAGCCTGGTATCATGGGAGCTGCCTGGGGCCATGGGAGCCTGGTTTTATGAGAGCCTGCTGGTAGCCTACTGCTGCAGGATCTGCTTGGGGCTACAGGAGCAGGCAAGTGGTAGGGTAGGCCAGGGGACTGGATTCTCAGTAGCTTGCCAAGAGCCTGGTACCATGAAGTCACCTGGGGCCATGGAAGCTGCCTGGGGCCACTGGAGTCAGCTGATGCTGGGATGGGCCAGCACTGATGTCTGGGGTAAATTCAGGTGCTCACTCAGTCTCCTCCCATGGGGATGGTGTCTCTCTCAGTGCTAGGATGCCCAGGCTTCAGGGAGGGGTAATGGGGTAATGTCTATCTATCTTTTCTACCCTCCTCAAAGTGTCTTTTCTTTTTTTTCTGTGCCCCACCCCAATGCTGTAATTCCTCACCTGGAATCCTTAGCTTTTGTGAAGGTATTTTCATGCTTGGTAGTTATTCAAATTGATGTTTCTGGGGGTACAGGTGCTAGAAATTCCTATACTACCATTTTGCTGAAATTGCTCTCTAATTAAATATTTTCTTCATCTTTAGTATACTTCAGTATATGTTGAAGGCAAAAGTTCTGAGGAAACCATACCTATAATTTGGCAAATTACAAACCCAACACCTGGCACTTCATGGGGCAAACACTCACAAGATGTAGTCACATCCTAGAACACCAGGTACAGAATACAGAATGTTTATCACTGTGTACCTTGTAATGTAATTCCCTAATTTAACATTCAGCACCAACTATAAATCCTCTAAGAATTCCCCTCCTCAGTTT